CACAGCTTGCCACTGACACTCTTTAATTAGCTAGGTCATTGATGAGAGATGTAGGAAAGCTCTTTCCCCCTCCTTACTCTAATCTGCTCTCTCCTTAAACTACCTCTAGAAAAGATATGGTCACAATTTTTCATTAAGAACTTTCTGTTAACACTCCACATCCCACCCATTGGCTTGTTTACAACAATTTTGTTTAAAATATTTCCTGTTCTTCAAAAAAAAATCAGACATTATATTATTCTGAAGTTACAGAGATATCATGCAAATTTCTGAGAATTTGGATTTTTTAGTATATTTTTTCACAATTAATAAAATAATTACGCCAAAGCTTTTATTCTAATCTACTTTTTTTTTTTTTCCATTTTAAAATTCTGTTTTTACTACTCTACTTTTACAAGTGACATAAAAGACTGCTAGAGAAAAAAAAAATGAAAAAGAAACAGAAGATCTAGAACAAAAAGAATCTTGTTAGATTTTAGTGTAAGTCTACAGGAAAAGATAAAAGAAAGAAATAATTAAAAAAAGGGGAGAAATTCAAAAAACAACTAATGTCTCAGAAATACCTGAAATCTGAAGTAGGGTAAATTCTCTCAAAAGAAGTTTTATGGTGTGACTCTTAATGTGATACTGAGCATCATGCAAAAACCAAACCTGTCTCACAGGGAAAACACTAGCTTATTCAGGTTTGACTTTTCTTCCTAAATAATTCTGGCCTAACAGCATCAGTGTGCTTTGTTTACTGAATATTCATTCATCTAAGAAGGCCTGTTGGCTTCAGTGATGAACTTGCATAAGCAAATTCTTTCAGATGTGAATGTAAGTTGTACGATGTGATTCTTATTTGTTTGCATAATTAGATCAATGATCCTATGATGTGGTTCAATAGCCAGTCTCAGAGGTGTTGCTACTTATACTAAAAGTGGCTGAAATCCTCTGGTTGCAGTATGCCATTCTCTGTAGATGTTGAAAAAAATATCAACAGCTACGAGTATGTAGGCTCACTTTTTGCTGCTGCGAACTAGCCCGAGGTTGCAGGCAGAGGCATGCAGTATCCCATATGCAAACAAGGGACCAGCAAAGGGCAGGTACTTAAGAGTCCAAGACAAAATCTGACATCTTTCACATTCCTATGTTGTGCAAATCACAGACAGAGCATATAAATGAACAACAGACTTCCTAAATTATGGCAGAGATTGAAGAGGCACTTCATTGCTTAGGCAAATATTTTTTTCCAGAGTGTCTTCCCTTTTATGTTTTACATAGGGAATGTATCAATTCTTGGAGGCTCTTTTCTATAGATAAGTCAGCACTAGTTAATGGCTTGCAATCCCCCACACAAGTAACCACACAGAGACAACTCTGCAATGTGATACAGAATTACCATCCACAAGCAGCTTCATACCTCTTGTCATTGGGAATGCAGCTCTTTTCTGTGCTCTGGAGGTGATGATTGAGCCTCCACCTTCCTGCTTCACATCTGATCACCAGCCAGTCTCTCTCTGCTATCTCTCTTTGCACCTATTTTTTTTCAGACTAATCTATCTTCTTCCTTTCTACATACAGGACGTCTCATTCCCTTCCATACTAGGGCTTTTCTGGTCAAAGGAAGGGAACAAATGGATTTAACTAGGGTATCAGCTATTAAGTAGTGACTGCAACTTTCTTTTCTGTTAGCTTGCCATCTCTTATTACAAAGCAGTCCTAAATTAATGGGATCCTCTATGTGCCACTCCATCAGAAACAGCATTCATTAAGAAGAAACATATCTAAGGACTCTGTACAAAATATTTTCTCCCAGATTTTTGCAGTTTTACATCTGCTGTACCATTTCAATACATTTACCTAATTAAATTAATTCTAAAACAATTTGTTCTCCAGATCTTTTACTGGCTGGCATCTTCAAGTTAATGTGAAGCACTGGCTAGTATATTATTTTTTACAGCTTCTACCAAAGCAGTTTAGGACAAGATAAATAGATCAAATTTATTCTTTTTGGAAAAAATATAAAACTCAGAAAAATTTACTTCTACCTCTGCAGTATGAAATTTGTCACTAATCATTTTAAACTATGCCCTTTTATGCTTCTTCCATCTCTTTTAGCTTTCTATGCAGTTCTTTGATGTAACAAAGACAGTTTCAGACAAGATTTCAGTTCATCTGGAAAAAAAGCTTTACGTCTTGAGGCAAAAAGCAGTGTATTTAAAATTTATATACTCCATAATGCCTTTGTTCTGAACTTGAACATCCTGAAAAACTTCTCCGCTTTCTTTTGCCTTCCGACTCTGAAGATCATTTGTTCTCATGGTTTCAGCTTCTTATTATGCAACAGTGACTTTAACTGGTGGTTCCAGCATTTAAGTACATGCAGAGTCATGGCTGACCCTTTCTGATCAATTGCCAATCCATACAGGTTTGACTGATAAAAGAGCCAATTAGATTTAAGCAAATTAAGGGACATCACCAATGTCAACCACTTATTAAACTGAATGCTGAATTCCATGCATACAAAACACTAATGCACCAAGTCCCATTAAGAGTTGAAATCCTAACCCCATTAGTAACTCCAGACCACTACAGGGTAAGGGTCAAAAGAAAGTTTCATATTTATGGATTAACATTTGGATTCAGTTTTTATTTTTTTAATCTTTCCAAGAACTCTTGAACCTGCACGGCAATTTTAGTCAAGAGCTCATATAAAATATATTCCTTATTTCTAAGATTTTTCTTTAAGTGTTGACTTTAAGCATGGCAAATCAGCTTGATGAGAAATTAAGATATATTAAATCAGGTAATGCTACAGATTTGGTGTGCTTTATATTATGTGCATTGGAAGAAAATTTGTATCATAATTGAAAAACAGTGATCTGCAGTAATATCAAAGCGGAACATTCCTTTGTCCTCTATCACTCTCCCTCTTACACAATCTCCATCCATCAAGCTCCATGATGTACTCTCCACAATGCAAATTTTTGAAACAGGTTTTTGATTATGCTTCGGAAGAGAATGGTACATTTTAACACTCATTAAAAGGCTGTGATTTTGTATACAGTGAGACCTCTTTCACTCTTTGATCAAACAAAACTTCTGTCAAAGTGAAATCTTGGTCACTGAAGTAAAAAATAAAATTTGTTCTGATTTTAGTAGCATCTAGATTTCATTTACTGATTTAAAAAGTGTTTGTCAGTGCATGAATACAGCCCAGTGTAAAATTACCATCATACTCATAATTTAGCAGGCAATGGAACTGTATGGCATTCAAAGAGTCACTGTAATAAACATCGTCGTAAAGTAAACATACATTGTCCTAGATATATACGTGTGTCTCTGTATGTGTGTTCACACATTGTGAGAATACAGTGTGTGTGAGAGTACTTCTCTCGTATGCACTGCTTCATTTGTTATTCATTTCACTACAGATCACAGTCCACTGGACAATAGTATGGAAGATTTCTTTAATAACTCTCACTGCTAATTTAATTCTACTTAAACACACATATCCTAGTGAATGCCACATGCTTTTCAGCATGATTTTATGTGTAAATCAGGATAATATGTTTTCAGATCATTAACTAAAAGGAAGCATGAACTAAAACCTATTTAATCAATGAGGTATTGCTTTTAAACTACCACAAGGTCATAAAAAAGATAATTTCAAAGCTATAAGTTTTCTAATTGTAATCAACAACAATCTAATGATGAAAGAAAGTGTATCTTAATGGCTGTCATAAACTTGTGCACATCCTTGCCTATCTTTGAAGATCCTTTACCTTCTTATTTGGCAAAATTTTCACCACCAAATTTTGTTATTTCTACATGCAGAACTGAAGTGTGACACTGGGATTAGAAATGTCAGTGTCTTACTGCTCAGTCTTAAGTGAGCAGTAAAACTCAGATGTGATTTTATATTATATGACAACATATATTTGTTAATATTAGGTATAATTTGGAAACCAGACTGGAAAAGTATAAAACATGCTGGGAATTTACCTTTTCCTTATTGCTTGGTAATCTGTCATACAAACTCTGCATTTTATTTATTCACTTTTCAGAAGTCTTTCTGTTGGCTTAGCCCCAAAACCAATCCATCTGTTTGCAAGTGAACGGTTCCAAGTGTAACTGTGTTTTTGAGCTGTGAGATTTATGGGATTTTTTTTGTTTGCTTGTCTTTTTCTTTTTTGTCTATCAAATGATATGTGTGTCACTCTATTCCTGCTAATCAGCTACACCTACATTTCTCTCAAGATCTAGTTTTGTTGGGCTCTCCCTTTAGAATTCAAAATTGCCTTAAATAAATTGTTTTGACTGGAATTTACTCCACAAAAGCTAATTCACTGTGATGTCTGTGAAAAGAGAATGCAAAATGAACACATATACATCAGCTGTAAATTTAAGCTTTCATTTAAAAAAAAAATAAAATTGTATGCACAGTGTTTATGGAGTATTTGTTCAATTCTCTTATTTCAGATTTTTATGAAGATAATATCCAATGTGGCTTAGAACCTCATTCACTGTAAATCAGCACATGGCAATTGACTTTCTTACAGCTACACCAATTTGTGAATTATGGCTCAATATATTACCAATGGTTTATATTACTATTATTAAACAAATTATCTAAGTATATCCAGCAAGTGCTCGTTGTCAACACTTAACTTTTATTCTAAAACAGATTACAAAATGCAGGGAACTTTATATTCTTAGATTAGATTAGCTGTACCTGATAGAATACAAGACCATTCACAGAAAAAAAAAGTTTATATTGCACTTCTCACCTACATAATATGTTAGCTATACAACTACCTGTTTTCATTCTCTAGTTCTTAAATTGAGCAATGTGACAAATTAGAAGCTGAAAAGAACAATTTTGTTAGTAAGATCTACTAATGCAAACATATTCTTCTGAACTTCCAGTCCTCAGTTGTAATAATAAATAATGTTTTGTTCAACAGAGTATTTGTGTAATTGTTACATGCACACAAAAAGCATTTTTTCATACTTACCTCCTGGAGGCATGACTACTGTTATAGCATCACTTATCAAGCTGCCCTGGCTGTTGGAAGCATTCACTTGTACTGTGTAGTTAGAAAATGGAATCAGTCCTTTAATAGGTACCCATACATTGGATTCGTTGCTGCTGCATAACATCCGAGTACCATTTACAATAGAATAATTAGCATTAGCTGTTATTAAAAAAAAAAAAAAAAAAAAGGGGGGGGAGAGAGAACAAACATTAGACATTGCATCTGCTACAATTCACTGTCTTTATGAACCAATTCTTATTTCTAACCAAATGAAATGTTGATACTGATACCAATAACAACAAAAAATGGCCTATTTGGAAGAAAAAATATTATTCACCGTTTTCCCCCTCCTTTTGCTAACAGTTTGTGGTACTTGTAAAACTTCAAAAGTAAATGAACTGATGATGCAGTTGCAAAGCTACAAAGAGAAGCCAGTTTTCAGAAATTACTCATGTTCTAAAACAGTTGTGTGATAACTGCAAATTCAAAACATTAATACTTGTGCCTGTGAAAAACTGGTATTCTTGAATTCACTAGAAAAACACTTACCTTAACGGTTTATAAGCTAATTTCACTGCATACATAGGAATTAGTCAAATGCAGCAAGAAACACATACTTTCCATCATGGCCTGAAGTCCTCTCAAAGATAATATAAGGATTTGAAGCATTTGGTTTATCAGTTGAAATCATCAGAAGACACCACAGCAACCTACACGTCCTTTACAACCCTTTTAAGACCTCAGACTTAAGATAAGACAATACTTTACCCTATGAAAATAACAAAATAGAACTGATCAGTAAGACTGGAAAATATAAAAATTGTTTGTCAAATAACAATTTTTTTGGACTCAGTGAAGATTTCACTCACATATCTGAGAGCAAAGCTGAGCTCATTTAAAGATTATCCAATATTTTGAACATTTAAAGTGCTATATAAATGATTAATATTATTACTACTATCCATCATTCCATGGAGAGCTCTCACATTGAAGTCAATGGAAATTCTGCATTACAAACAACAGCAGAATCATGCAAGTAGGAGACCACAGGTACAAGAATGGGATTAAAGAGAATGTAACTATTAAAAATATCTTAAACTAAGGCATTGTTACATGCAGAAGACTCAATATATACATCTGAGTCCTCTACAAAATAGAAGTGAAAAAAATCCTAGAAACTCTCTTTTAATTAATTTTTTAAGTGAAACTCATCAGGTTTACTCATTTTTACGCAAGTTTCAAATGAACTGTTAAAATCGAAATTTTATTAAACCTGAAACCTTTTTTTCAAATATTCCATATTTCTATGATGTGCACTAAGGTGCATATGCAGTACATTTCAGTCACGCTCTCAAGACATTTTAGTATGAATGAGTGATCTGGACTTCGCTCTAATTCTGGGATCCCCAGCCATGGAGGCAAAGCTTCTTGTCATGCAAGAACAAGCACATTTTACACATTCCACATACGGACATAGCAATTCTGCTGAAGCAAAGTTTTTTTGTCTGAGATTACTCTTATGTACCCAGGCTACTCAGCCAGCAGTAGAAAAATGTATCTGCATTATTTGATCTCAGCTCTTAAATTGTATATCAAACCTTCCTTCTGTATCTTTGTGAAACTGTCCCTGTCTGTGATATGGGAGTAGATACAATCCAACAAAGCGCATTTCTCCCATTATCTATCACAGCTTTTCTGTGCACCACCAGGCACTCTGCGACTATTTGTGATGCCCACCCAACAACATGAAACTCTTATATACACCTATTGTTTTATTAACAACAATAAAGCCATTAGAAATGGCCAAATGACGTATACATGCTTAAGATCCTAGTGACATAGAACACTTAAAGGTCTTGGGTGGCTGTGAAAAGAGATGCATTTTTTAAAGGTTTCACTTAAAATGTGTAGGAAAGTTTAAAAATCCAGTGTTGACAGATCAAGGCACATAGGATAGATTCAAACCTCAAGCATAAAAGTAGGCTCCCTAACAGCAATTTATCTGCCCAGTTCATGAGAAAATCAAACTTTTTCTATCTACAGTACAGTTTTAACATCTTAATATTTTTATTCTCATCCACCTGAGCCCAGAATGAAAGCATGTACTTCTTCTGCTGAGATTTTTATTCCACTATTAATCTTTCCTCCAATTGCTAACTATACTATATTTTTAAAAATACAGTTCTGAGTAACAGAAAAGGAATTAAAAGGATAACACTCTATTCCAAGTTGCCTGGATAACAACATTAATATACAGTAATTATACAATTAGTTGTAACATTAAATTCTAGTTATAGCAGAGTGATTACTCGGCAATTATAAGAAGTATATAATTACTCAATAATTAGGAGAAGTATGTAATTACATAACCATTTTATTCAGCTCAAAAATGAACTTGCAAATTTACAATGAGTTAGACAACACAGCAATTCGACATTTTTCATTACTTCTAATAAAAAGCTGAGGTGCACTTGCAAGTTGCCTAAGCTGAATTGTACACAGACAAAAGGCATTTTACCCTGATTGCTAGCCAAGCAACTTACCAATACTGGCAAGTAAAATATTAGAAGAACATTTTTAAAATGCAGGTGTTGCTGGGGATGACTTGCAATATGCCGCTTTGCCACTTCTCACTGCTTAAACTTTGCTTTCAGTGGGCTGGAAAATGCAGACGCATAGGTTCAGCCTGACAGAAAGCGATACAGCGATAACCCTGTCATATCGCTCTGTGCCATTCCTGCCTAGACTGCTTCAGTGTGGACCCTATTTGTGAGTATAAATGGATGAGGCCTCTCTTTTTTCATTTTTCATGTGTGTTTTTCTCTCCATTCCGCTCACATGTCCTACTGGAGCCTACCACTAAGTCTGCCGCAGATGTAAACAGCAGCTGCCTCAGAAACTGGTGAAGTCCTAAGAGACATTGTTTTACTTCAGACAAGTAGTTTCTACCAGAACACCTCCTTGTTACTGCACATTTCTGCCTCGTAACTTCTGCTGTGAACAGTCACCAGTGCTCCAACAAGAAAGATCCCCTCAAGACACAGCTAACATGAACAACCTAAGGAGACAGAAAACACTCTTAGCAGCAGTTCAACATGTCCTTCAATACTGCCACATGCAGGTAGCCTTACCAAAAGATGAATTCAGACAGAAGGGTGCTCACAGCCACGGTCTCCTATAGCCTCTCAAAAAAGACTTTTGCAGACACAAAAGGCTTTCCCATGCTCCTTAATCTTTCCATATTTTTGCATTCTGAAGGTTTTGTTCTTTTACTAGCCTTCCTGCTCGTAAGGCTCTCCATATTTCCCCCAATATTTCTGAGGGAATTTTGGGCTAAGTTTCGTACTTGAGAAAAAGCTGTGCTGTTCTGTTTATTCCTAGTTTATACCAGATTGAAGTATCTCAGCTTTTCAGGAAAACATTATCCAAATGAAAAAAATCAGGCCTAAAGAATATACATATACATACTTAAAAACTACATATACTTGAAACAAAGTCAAGTAATAAAACGTGTTTTCATTAAAAAGATACACAAATACATATTCCATTCAAAATCATTGTTTAGAAGTGCTAAGATTCACACAGCACTCCTGCTGGTGAGTATTTGTGTTTGAAGGTTCACTATGTTTTTGGGTGGACACTTTGAAGGGGGCTCCCAAGCAGACGTGCATTCATGTTACTGAACACCCCTGTAAATAGGTGAATAAAGCTCCTGTGGGTCGGTGGTGCGTAAATTACTGCTGTCCTGGGTCCGTCATCCTATGGGGTTCACTAGATTGAAATAACATAAATGGGTATCCTTTTCCATTCTTGTTATAATCATTGTCACAAGAATTTTAATGCCTCATATATTCCATAATTTTTTTCTGTGTGCTGTACTGCTCTGACCTTTTCAATATTCTGTAATTTGACTGGCTGGCCATTTCAACTTCTCTCCTTTTTACAGCCTTATTAACTTGTGGGAAAGAGGTGAAATGGACAGCCAATCAGAATACATAATATTGCAAAGGTCACGGTAGTACAGTACAGTATCAGCAGACACAGAATACTGTATATTAGTCATTAGTGTTCTGATATCTTATTCATGTGACAAAGGCTGTAAGGAGTGCAGGAAATGGTACAACATGAAACCATTCTCATGACAAAGACTGCAATGGAAAAAAGAAATAATACAAACTAAACGCATTCATCTCACATCTTAAAAATTGAGGGTTTTTTTCTAGATTTTACCACATTTAAAGGTACTTTTTCCATCTGGATGAAAACTAATGTTTTTAAGGAAAAAGGTAATAAATTGAGGTGTTTCCTTTTTATGTATTAAACAGAAAAAAATCATGTTCCATATGTGTAGGCAATACCTAAATACTTCTACTACTACCACTGCACTTGTGATTATTAAAGTAGTAAGTTTAAACATAACCAATCTAATGTGTCAGCATCACAAATGCACTGACACATCTATGCTGGTGACTTCAGGAAGAAAGGAGGCCATGCTAGTGAAGAATATTACTGCATGCTCACAGGCTATTCTTTCCCCAATCATCAAGAGCTGGCCATCATTATACAGAATGGTCAAAAATCCTTATACTTTTCAGATTTGTTGAAGTCCGATAAGAATACAAACAGAACTGCCTTTATAAAACAAATTTCTATCTCTTCCTATTTGCGATGTCCTAGAAATTGGCTGACTGCTCTTCTTACCCCCAGATTTGTCTGAACTTAAATAATATTAAAGAACCATAGTTTGTGAAATGTAGGGAGATTTCCACCTAAAAGGTACTTGAGCCTGAAACACTTAAGTCTTATCACCATATATGTTTAATGAGTATTATTTTCTTTCAATATCATTATTTCAAGATAATGTGAGTCTTCAATCACAAAAGTACACTAGATATTGTGTGCTACTACATTGTAAGGTTTTGTATCATGCTCTGAAATATTATTACCAATCTATACTGTTTCCATTATGTACATACAGGTCCCGATAACCTCTTTTACATTAGAGAGAGTGATGCTCCACAATATTCAGATAAAAGCTGAACTATTACCACTGTAGAAGACTACTCAAAGAATAAAGGTAGCAAAAATACAGGTCAAGGAACATTTCATATGAGGATCTAAAGAATTATACAAAGATTACTTAGTTAACTAGCACAAAC